ATTGGCCTGCTGCAGTCCTTTATATTGGAAAGATAAAGAGAGCTAATTACAACATTGAAGAAATCTGTTTTCTAATAAAAGTCAAAAAAAAAAAAAATTGAGCAACTATAAGAAAGACGGCAAAAGGCTGGATCACCCAGTCACCGCACACTTGAAAGTAAAAGGTTCGACTCTACTGTTTAATGACTTCCACCGACATGACATTTTAATTCTTCTCTAAAATCACAGTTCTTCCTTAGAGCTACCATGGACCATCTCACTCCCATGGAATCGCAATGCCAGAGTCCCTTTGTGTTAACATGCAATGTATGTGGAGAAAGGATGAGGGAAGCTTTGGTAACTAATTAATACTCTACACATTTTATTTATATTTGCTTCAGTGCAAAGGCTCATTGGTTTCCAGGTTTATCTCTGGAACCCCTCCATGCATGACCTGGAGGGCCTGACCCAGACCTGGCCAGGCTCGAGACTGACTACAGAGTTAAACTACAGTGGAGCCAGGAGTGGGTGGTACTGGGAAGGCGTCCCCTGCCCACACAAAGGTGCCGTCTCTTACCCAATGGAAAGAGTAAAAATTATGTGGCACCTCTGGATTCTTATGAAATAGTGTTTTAAATATTAAATCAATGCTAATTCCCTATAAAAACATTATTTTTTTCAACTGAGGTTATTTTTTTAAATACCTTTAACAGAAACTCCCGTGACCCTTTTATGATGTATTAATTTTGATCAGGGTATCAGGATTAAGAAACCTCATCTACAGCGAAAGCTCATTTCTGTATGCTGAAGAATTCAATGCCAAGACTTATTTTCAGTATATCATCTCTCCCAACTCTTTTGTTCATAAAACAGTATCGCAGGTAAAATCAGGTAACGGTCAACAGTGCTATAACATGAGGGCCCCACAGGTTGATAAATTGACTTTAAGAGGAGAGAGGAATTCTAATCAGTAACAACTTTGTGACTGTTGTACTAACGAGATCATCCAGTTTCTGGTCACAGCTGTGGAATTTACTGCACAACCACTGCCATTCAAAGTAAAGACAATCTTTCCAGTTTTGCAGAGAATGGGCCAACAGCTATTATTATTTGTGTATGTGACAGTATAGAGACACACTTACATGCATGCACTTGCATTAGAAAGGAAAAAAAATAAAGCTTCTACCCTCAACCATAAAAGATCCCAGGGCACGTTTACAGGAAAACTCAGCAGCCTCAGAAGAAGTAATGAGCATATAAATAAAGACCTGCACACTCACAAAACAAGTTAAGTATGAACTCAACGTTTACACTGAGGCACAGCACTCTTTGAATAATGCTTTGGACAAAAATACAGTAAGCTTCAGATGATGAAAGTGTTCTAAAAGGCTTTAAAATCTACTTGCCACTAAACAGCCAAACAGATAGAATCTCCAGGACCATGAAGAGCAGTGACACACTCTCCAATGAGATCTGCCTCGAAGTACTGATTAGAAAAACCATATATTAATATAAGCATAATCGAATTTTTAAAAACATCATCAGATATTATTTTTCTATTGTAAATGCATTTTCTACCAATCTTTTTAGTTGTGCCTCCCACGGGAGAATTTCTAAGAGAGAAAGAAATAAGGCCCAAAGAACATAAAGAGGAAGTTCAAAGGTAGACTTAACAGGTTCTGCCCTGTAAGTAGAGTGCCTTCGATTCAGCCTACTAACCTCCCTGAGCATCAGCTCCCTCGTCCCTAAAACAATGCAGTTCTTGGATCACTGGTCCAAGATGTAGTGTATCACCTGGCCCCTGTCTACCTCTAACCTTGTGCTTTGGCTCAACTTCCCTGTGTTTACTGCCATCTGAAGCTCTGGGCTGCTGACAGCCTCTTAACAACCAAACTCTTCTTATTCAAAGCCTCATCCACTCTACTCATTCATTCATATCTGATTGGAGGCTTTTCCCCTCCATGAGTTCCATGAGGACAGGGGTCATGTCTCTCATTTATTTTTGTAGGCCCAAAGCCCAGCACAGTGACTAGCACATATGAGTATGCAGTTAAGTATTTGGGAAATGAATGAATAACTGAAAAAATGAAGTACTATATAAAACCAATGACCACATCTGGGAGTAAAAGAAAACTATCTTTTCTTAGTTAATATTAATTGTACTGATACTAGGGGGTTGGGGGTGGGGAGCAGGTTGTCTCATACTTCTTAGATGTTACCAATAGAGTTTTGAGGACACTGGTAATTTGGCACTGTATTCCTCTACTTTTCAATATTCCCCACCCAGCTAAGTTTTGCATTGTTTCTCCAACATAAACAACAGTTGACCCCAGCAAGAGAGCAGAGCCAAGTTGCTGTGGAGGCCAAGCTAGTTCCTATCATTCCTCAGACGTGGTAATGAACCTGCCAGGTACATCCTTACTCTGCTGTCAGAAAGAGCTGATGCTGCATGAAGCAGAAAACACGACCCCTCCTTGGCCCACCAGGCAGAGCTCATCAGTGCTGGCAACAGAAATCTATACACACTTGTGAAGTTGTAGCTCTGTGCACTCAACTCTTACTTTCATTATCTGTCCTGGCCATGCCAGATCTAAAACCACTAAGGATATAAAACCAGCTTTATTTTAGCCATTAAACAAACTGAAGGTGAGAAAGTCGCAACTGGTGGATTATATGTGTGTATTACATTTGCCAAAAGACTACAGGAAGATGAGGGTCATTTGAAACACCTCTTCTCTTCCACTGGCAGTTCAATTTCTAGGACACAGTATTAGCAGAAAGAAAACTATTTCTAATATGCTATTAATTGGATGTTTATAACGTTACAGGCTGTATTTGATAAATGTAAACCATCTCATCTTAGACGGTATCTTCAGGGTAATGCAGAAGTTAAAACTTGAGACAGTATTTTACATCATTTCTGAGTGCATGGAGCTATTCTCCGAATTACATTTTAGTTATGACATAAAAAAGATTCATGATATACACTTGGACAATATGTTTTAAAAAGTTAAACATTATCCAGTAGTATGTTTTAATTTGCCAATGAGCTTTTGTAAAAAAAAAAAATATTTGCTTTCTATGACATTTTCATATCACTCTGAATGAGTCAGTAAATATATAAATACAAGAACCATACAGAAACTTAAGACAGACATTTCTTTTTTATCTCTATTTTGCATCGTCCCTCTAGCTCTATCTCTATATGTTTATCAATCTATGGTCATAATAATACTCTATTCATATAGACTGTAATTTTCTGAAAACCTTAATTATTCATCTGTCACACAGAAACTTCCTTTAATAAAAGTGATTAGAATTCTAAGAACTACTTAAAGAGCTCCTTCATTTATTCATTTAAGAAATATTTGTTGAGTGATCCTCTGACTGCAATAGGGTTCCTGGGACCTCTTCTTCCAGCCCTAATGACAGTAATAGGGTCTATCGTAGTTCTTTGGAGGCAGAGGACAATGATAATTTCAAGTCAATATACTGACAGTCTTTCAACTACTGGTGCTAGAATACCTGGGCAAAGGTGAAGAGAACAAGAAGCCAGTGAGGTGCTAGAGTAAGAATAAAGATGGCACTGTGACCATTTACATACCATATTCTAAGTCCTTTAGATGCTATAAAAAGGACAGAGCAAGAGGGAAGACAAATTAAGAAGCAACAAGAAATGAATACTCAGTGGTTCTGTATGAATATCATCATGTGCCACATTTCTATTACTTTAATGCTATGACTGCTAGTCAAGCCACATAATAATTACATAATGTCACCAAATTGGCATTCTATAATCCTGGGAATATTTGCCAGGAGTGTAGAATAGCCAGGTCAAGGTAGTAAGATGGGTGTACTACCACAGAGTCAGACTGGGATGATCACGGGTGTATAGCACAGCCAGGCCACACAGTAGCTCATCGCCTGGATGGATCATCCAGGGTCAGTTCCCGAGGTTTTATTCATGGATAGGGTCTGCCTCTTGAAACTGTAGATCCACTTTGGCTTTAAATTAAACGTTCCCCTTTCCTATACAATGGGTATCTTGTTGGTAGTTTACAAATGTGAAGACTGAACATCAGAGAGCCGACCTGTGAGCCAGGTTTGCAGAACTGGCTGGTGGCAAAGCTGGAGTCTAACTACAGTTATCTCCAACTCCAAAGCTATATTTGTGACTACAGTGGCTAATCTTAAAAACACCCCAGGACCCCTATCTATCTACTGATTGCTATCATGTAAGCAGAGTGAGTTATTTGCTTTGTTCCAAGTTTCCACACTTTATTAACCATGTTAAAAGAACAAAAAACATTGCAGAAAATAACGTCATATCAAAATAGAGATTTATAATATTTAAACAGTAACATGTCTGCCAAGAAGCATTGATGATAATTGAATGAGTAAAGAATTAAAACTGCAATTGAGAACAGTCTGGAAAAACAATGGTATTCATCATTTCTAGTAAATATGGTACGTTACTACAGCTAACACTATTCTTTCTAGATTTCCTGTAATAGAATGCCTTCCAATGCCATCCACATTTATTTTATATTAGATTAAAGACTCTGCTATCACCTTTTCTTTCTTTCTCCCAGTGCATGCCTTTCCCCAGTAGTAACAGGAGTGAATTATGCCATGCCTGGTCTTTTGATTTCAGCTCCTGTTCTTGCATGTGTTGTACAACCAGATATGAAGTCAGTTTTTCCTCTGGAGAACTGTAATCAGTAAGAGGAGCTAGGATAAAAAGATCTGCCATATTCACTTTCTCTATGAAGTGGATGTCATCATAATTGAATAAGTATTATTTCTATAGATGGGCCACTGACTAAAGTCTACAAAAAAATTATTTTTTGGCCTAATAAATGACTCTGTAATTCACTGTAGTGATATTTGATCTGCATCCTGGGTCAGGCCCAGTGTCATGTTGCAATATTCTTTCTCATAGGTAGTCATTACTGAAAATCCAGGAGCAGTCAAGCGCTGACGTTTTATTAAACACATAACAGCTTCAGGAAAATACATACCTGATTGCACTCGCAGATAAGTGACCATAGGAGCCACTTGCTGAAGAGCTGCTGCGAGAATTATTGAGAATTGTGACCAAGGAGTTGGGAGATGTCCTTATCATGGTCTGAAGGTCAAAGCTATGATCGGACAGTGGTGATATGGAGAGTGTACGTTTTCGGCTTGGCCTGGCTGACAGCCTGGGGCTGGGGAATCTGGTGCCTGTTATAGAAACAAAACAGAACCTGATTACCTGTGGATGTACTCAGTACCTGTTATTTATTGCTACTCGCCTGTGGAAGAAGTGGAGGATAAGAACTGGCAACTTGCAATGACAAGTATCTCTCCTCCCACTTGTGATCTACTGGCTACAACTGAGGAAATTAGGGAGAAATATTTATCATCCAGGGGCTTACCTCAGGGGAGTTCTGTTTATTAATGTGCAGGCAAAATGATAAATTGCTAAACAAAAGGGAAAGACTTTTATGTTTTATCCCTCTTTTTTCTAGTGATTTATGAATCTGACGGCTCCTTAGATATTCCCATTATTAATTCACAAGCGACAAAGACAGTGGTTCCCACGGTTACACAACACACCACGTTCCCCACCCCAGCACACACCACTTTAAGGCAATGAGCCAAAGGAAAAATGAATTAAAGTATCCTAAGATAAAAATTTCAGCTTGGTTATACCCTCGTTTCCCTGCAATTTCTGTAGTTATCAGATCCATGGTATACTTAAAGCTTTACTAAAACAACTGAAAAATACATTACCGTAAATTAATTGTTCTCAACTGGGGGGCAGTATTGCCCTTAGGGGACATGTGACAACATCTGGAGACATTCTGGTTATCACACTCACAGGGTGCTACTCACATCTAGTGTGGGTGGAGGCCAGGGATGCTGCTGAACACTCTGCAATGCACAGAGTGGGCCCCACGATGAAGAATTACCTGGCCCTATTAGTACCAAGACTGAGGAACCTTGCCCTAAATTCCCCATAGTATAACAGCATAAATCCCAAGAAACATTTAAAATCTTGAGATGTGGTCTGTTTATAGATTTTCCAAGGTGGGGAGAAAAATACCCTGTAAGTACTATAATGAGATTTGATGAGTATATTTTCATTCTCTGGACCTATTAGATTAATTAATTAATTCTCTACATTTGTTAGAATTTTTCACTTTCAAGAACAGTCCACCAAAGAAGTTCTAACCTGGAGGTTAGTAACTCACTTAAACACATGCCAACTTAATGCAATGCTTTTTACCTGGAGAGTTAAAAAATAAATTCCCATTTGTCTTCAATTTGGTAGATATTAGAAACTTGAATTTCAGGACACAGCTATGAATGTAGCCCACAGGCCCACTCCTGCCTTTTCTAAGGTCGCATTTGTATTACAGAGTTACCAAACTAAAATTTAATGAAAGAATAAGAACATAATCCCAGTGGGTAAGATGCAAATAAACCATGATTGCTTTTAAGTAATAATGGAGGGTTTCAATGTCATAGCATGGGTTTACCTGCTTACAGGGATATGGCAATTTTATGATACCCCAAAATTAAGTAAAAGGTAAGTTTTCTTTATATAAAAAAGTCTAGGCACTTGGTCCCCAGAAAATCCATTGGGAATACTTTCTTCATCTGAGATAGACCTTGACACAAGATAACAAACCAATATGCTTTAACTTAATGAAATGAAATATATGACTATAAAGACTATAGATGATACACTTTATAATTATAAAAAATAAATCACAAACTGGAACTTAGTAAGTTAGTACCATCCATGTACAAAACTGGAAAACCAATTTGAATGACAAAAAGTGATACCTACTCAAAGTTTTCTTTCAGGTACATTTAAAATTGAGTTTCTTCATTTATTATAGTTTCATTACCAGCCTGATTTAGAGCATGTTAGTGCAAAAATAGCAATCCCAACTATGTACACACCTTTTAGTGTTTAAATCAGACCCTGCTTTTATTATGGCATCAACCCTACACATAAATGTTTCACATTTACTCACTACAAGAGGCTACTTTTATCATAGAAGTTTTTCAGTGAGGAAATAGGTTCCACTTCCGAACAATTCCAAGGACAAACCAGATTTATGGTCGATTTCCATATAATCCTCGACAATAACCCTTTTCACTAGGACTCAGTGATCACTGGCAGAGTTAAAAGTAAGAGGACATTCTAAACAGAGCTGATCCCTGGAACACTTTTAATTTTTTAAATCACTAACTAGTTAAGGAGGTCATTTGATGCTATAAAACACTAGAGGCCTTAAATCCTCTTACATCTCCCATAGACAGAGCACAGGGTCTGACTTCATCCCCCATAGACCCTCAGGTTGTACTTGGCCTGGCTGGTTCAACACCTCTGTTTTTCTCTCCAAGATAGGCACTTACTTAAGTCAGTTTCCATCAATATAAACAGTGTGGTTTTCAGCAGCCCTCATCTCTAGCAAGTTCCTTCTAGTGATATTACTTGATCTTTTAAGGTCACTCAAATCCTAAAGGGCAGAATTAGAACCATAAAACAACTAAGTACAAGTTCATTCTGTCTGGAACACAGATATGCCCATTGGTGGCACATTTAAAAGTCAGGTGTTTATCTGCAACCAGTCTATTGTGGTTTCTGCCAACTGAAGAGTCCAGATGATCTATAACAACAGTTCAGAGTGACCTGCTAGATCCCAATGTGGCTCTGCTATTGCAGGTATGCATCCAATGCAGGAATTCAAAATTGTTTCACTTTGCTTTTGGCAATCTCCTAAATTTGGGGTACTCTTCTTATGCTCTGTTTAACTAAATGCTATTTCAATTATTTTATAGAGAAAAAAATACAGTACTTTAAGCACTTTATAAACCTTTAATACGCTCTCTCCAACCTCCTAATAACCAAGCAAAGAAAGATAAAAGTCAGCATTGTGAGACAGTGATTTGGGGTCCTGTGTTCAAGGGAATAGGAGACAAAGTGAGCAACTTCAAAACAGGTGAAAGAGAAGGGGCCCAGGTGTTCACTGATCAAATGGCTTCCTTCTAAAATATAAGCCTGGGCATTCTTATTCTTTCAACACATGTACAAAACTGGCTTTCTATTAATTGTTTTGTTTCTCTATTCCAATAAAAAAATTCTGACAAAGAAAAAGGACGTTTCCTTTTATGTGATGAATGATAGGATATCTAAATTCCTAGTTAATGATAATCAATTTACTATATACTTAGGCAAATTAAAATTCCTTTAATTAGTTTTCACAGAGTAAAAGGGTAACTTCATCCTTTATTTAGATAAAAACCACCACTGCCTGACTAAACACATTCTCATCAAATAAGGAAGGTAATATGGGCTGACCTTTCGAGGATTGTCTTATTTTAATTCTTTATTTGCAGATTTTAAATAACTAATTTGCATAATAACACAAATCTTTTTTTCCCCAACAATCTCTAATTGAAATATGGTTATGATGAATTTGAAAAGTAAGCTCTCCACTCTACAGAGCAGAACAAAAGCGCTGCAGAAGATGTAACACATTTCCTTCACTTTGTGTGTGGTAATGAACACCCAATAGAAACCAGTACAAACTTATGTTCCTATGTAACATAGCTAAGTTAGTTCATGATAGTAAGTAAGACTAAGGTTGTAGATTTTATCCTGTGTGGACCTTCTCCAGATCTGAGGACTGAATTACTAACCACCGCTAGAGAGTTGACAAGTGTATACTATTTCACAAAAAAATCCGAACAAACTGTAGATAGAATCTAAGTGCAAGTTAATCGCTGTTGCTAGAAAAACAAACATACAAATAAGACCTCAAGCATATTCTCTACTTGAAGTCAAACTGTCGTCATATTCAAAGAGTAGTGGCTTTCACTGATGCACACCTTAGATTTTTAATGATGCTTCCAGGTCATACTTCCTGGCACCTGACAAATGAACGTAGTAGACTCAAAGAATCTGAGTAACTGAGAACTCCAGGATGTTCTGAAAAGTGATAATCTTAGCCTCATTTGTCTATACGTCTTGATAAGTGATCCAAAGGAATCATCATAAGCCTTGAGGAACTCAAAAATAAGTGATATAAAATGCGTCAGATGATCCCATTTTCTTCTACTACTATGTACTAAAAATAACCCTTTCTAGTTTGGAAAAGCTTTTTATTTTCCCTAAATAAAAGGTCTTAGTAAAATATAATTTTTAATGTAAAGAAAACATAAGGCAAAAGAAATCAAAAGGAAAAAAGTGTAAAACCAAGTACAGGTTGTTTTTAAAATTAATTTTTAATGCATAAATTCTATAAAGCCAAGGAATGACTGGATAAGGTACATTCATGTAATCAAATGTGTTTTCTTATTTTGTTATCAAGACAATCAAGGCAGGATAGTTTTTTGTGTATCTGCCAAACTACAATCACCTGCATCTTCCAGCTTGTTCCCCTGAGCTAAACAAGAAGTCCCAGGATAGCCAAATCTGCGGCAGCTTCCTAGAAAACCAAGGGAACCAGGGCACTAAGTAAGTGGTTCCTCCGCTTCCTCCTCTGGTTTGTAAAGTTAGGCAATGACCTAATCCTTGTATCTTCCTCTCTATTTCATAAAATAGTATTTGCCAGCCCCAGAACTACAGAAAACAGCTCCATCACTTACTATCCATGGCATGAAGATATTCCATGTGAATGGCCCCAGTGCCAGCAGTGGGAGCTGAGGGAATGATGTCTGCATAGGGGCTGCGCTGGCCAGCTAACAGAGCCATCTGATGATAGTATTCTGCTGGACTGACTCCAGTGTGGGGCGCTAGAAGAGGAGACAAGGAAAGCATGGTTACTTGTTGAAAGAAGGTCACAAAGTCCATTTGTTACACAGCCTACATCAGCAGTTCCTTTTATGGCTCATTCTAGTAAAAATCTTTAACTTGAATTATGCTTTTAAGTCTACCACATATCTTTTACTCGACAATAAAAGCGAAGGAAAAGAATACAGAAAATAAAATATATTATAAAATATTTGAAATTAGTTTTGAAGGGGACCAAAGTTTTACCATCCCCAAATATATCTTTCGGAGTATTAATTTTAAGCTGGTTATTAAGAAACGAAAGATTCAGAACTTTTGACCCTCCCCCTTACCTGCCTAAAGGAAGTAAGACAGAAAAACCTGCTTAAAAGAAGGGAGCATAGCCTTAGCGTCATACTGTAAACTGAAGGTGGAAGAGAGAAATCTAGCAAAGCCTGTTAGACATCCCTCTATGTCCAACTGCTTCTGGGTGGTCCAGCAAGAATTTGTTTATCACGTTTGCTCTTTCTCATCTACTTGTAAATTGCCTGCTTTCCCTTGGAAATCCCAGTCCCCTGCTTCCCTCTAGTCCAGAATGGCATATAAACCTCAACTGCCCAATCTGTCTTCAAGTCTCAAATTCTTATGGTGCCCCTGCAGGTACATCCATAATAAATTTTGGACATTTTCTCCCGTTAACTTGTCTCATGTTAACTTTATTATTAACCCAGACAGAAAAACTCAGAAGGTGAGAGGAAAATTCTTTTTTGCACACCCTCTTCGGTTTAAAGAAATCATCAAGAATACAAATGATTAAAATGTATTTATATACATAACTCATTCCCATGTTTGCCGCACAAAATAAAACTGTTTCTTTTATCGAATCACTGTATGTTTCCATTTCTTATAGTAACCAACAACTTAGACAACTATGATCTCTTTCCAGACATACTTAAAATACTTCCCTAAGCTTTCTGACAGGAGTGTGAGTCAGCTCTCAATCCCTGGAGGACCCAGGGCTTACAAGTGGAAAGAGCAGCACAGCTTTAATAACACACAACTGAGCGATAAGCTGCAATTTTGTGTTCCATAATTTAAAAGCTCTCTTTTTTTTCATTACAAAACCAAAAAAATATATACTTATCAGTCTGGAGCAATTTACTGGCCAGAGTCAACTCCATAAAAGTGGGATGATAATCAGTTTCCACCTGCCCACTTATGTGCAAAAGTAGCAGGATACTGCAGTGGTTCTGAGGGTGGTCTCCAGATTCGTGAAGATCTAAATATAAATGCCAGCTTCACCTGTTAGTGTTCCATGAGGTTGTTGAGAGCAATGAATGCAACGATGCATATAAAGTGCTTATTAAGCACATAGCATTCCCTCAATAACTCAGTTTTATTAATTATTATGAAGAAACAATGGCATCTTCAAACAGCTTTGTGTTTTACATTTGTGTCCACAGACTTTTATATATGATAGAGATATATATGAAAAACTCTTAGACCACAGGAGAGAAATATTAGTAACTTGACTTTATTTGACTGGTAATTAATTAGACTCGAAAGGCAAGAGGAGGAAGGCAGAACAACCAATCTAAAACTGTCTTATTCATATTCATTATGAAATACTACAGGTAGTAGAGAGTAAGATGCTTTAACTAGAGGTACCATTTTCCAGTGGTCCAACTAAATTTCTGTGTGCCAGGTACAATTTCAAGTCCATTGTTAGCCGACCTCCCTTATCCCGCTCTCCCTCTGTTCTTGTTAGTCATTTCCATGAACTCCCAAGTACTCCATGGAGGTGACTCTCCATTTTTCCTATTGTAAAACCAAATCCCAAGCAGGAGAACTAACTCATATTTCACCCTCATTTGACTCTCTGATAGTTTTAACAAATTTAAAAGTGTGAATCTTCCAAACTTCCAGTTATAAGATAAATAACTACTGGGAATGTAATGTACAACATAAATATAGTTAGCATTGCCAAATGGTATATTTGAAATCTACTAAGAGTAAATCCTAAAAGTTCTCATCACAGGAGAAAAAACATTTTTTTCTTTTTCCTTTTTATAGGTATATGAGATATGGATGTTAACTAAACTTACTGGGGTAATCATTTTACAATACATGTAAATCATTATGCAGTATACCTTAAACTTATACAGTGCTTATGTCAATTATATCTCAATAAAACTGATAGAAAAAAATGTGAATCTCATTCAACTGGCAAAACTGATTTTTTTGGTACCTTACAAGTATATTCACTACATTGAATCAGAAGAAAAACAATGAGCTGACAGCTGTTCTGGCAGCACTGCTGCTTCTGAAGGTGTAACTGAGTTTACTGAGCAACCTCATGCAGCTTTCCTACCTACTATTCCCACCATGCACAGCCAGCCTCTGAAAGTGGTCTGCCTGGAGAATGGGGACACTGCAGGGTCACATCAAGCACTGATCAGTGAGATGGAGTGCACGGCGTTTCTTTGTGCTATGAAACAAATACCACAAATTTGTGACCTGCTGCAGAGAACTCATAACCTACTATCTGCAATCAATAAGGTTTATGCAATTCTGGACTTTAATTCAGGTTCCAACCATTGTGGACAAGTCAGTTTGTATAAGTGTGCATTCGATGGAAAATTCTATTCCTGAATCAAAGGAACAATTTAGAACTTGACAGTTACAGAATATACAATTCCAATTAAAGAGTAATGTAAAAGTAATTAAGTGGGAGGCTAAGAGAACCAACCAGAATTTGATGCTTGAGAGTCTAAAATGAACATCAGGTATTACAGAATTAAAGTCAAAAGTTCGCTTATTTTCCCACCATGTCCCTCTTCCAGTTTGCATTTGGCAAGATCAGTGACAGAGGGCACATGCAGCAACAAGTCCAAACCATCATGTTCTCTAAGACCTTGCTATTCAGAGTATGGTCCACAGATCAGTAGCACTGACATCTCCTGGGAACTTTTCAGAAGTGCAGAATCTTAGGCCCTACTTGTACCCACCCCAGAGAGAATCACATTTTACCACCATCCCCAGATGATCTGTATGCATACTGGAGTTTAAGAAGTGCTGCTCTAACAGACACATCTGTATAAATGTGCCTCTCAGACATGCAGAACAGAAAAGTATACATCAGATGGTGAGTAAAATGTACTGGTTATACATGTACATTATATGAATGGCTACAGGGCCAGTCTAAACATATGTTGAGGTGCAGAACAGAACTGTGGATAACAGTAAGTCAGTGAGATCTGGCTTTGGGTTCCACCACTGACACTTACTAGCCAAGGGACCAGGCTGCAAGTTACTTGGCCCCTCTGCACATTGCTATCTTCACCTGAAAATGGAAATAATAAGCCACCCTCAGAGATGTGTCCTAATGTTGAAATGAAAGCATGCACTTAAAGCATTCAGCATAGTGTATGGCACATGGGAAACAATAAACATCAGAGCCACTCTATACCACATCCCAGGTGAGGCAGGGGGAGGAACTGGCATGTGTGGAAGCATAATGTGTTGGTCTGAAACTTACCATCTGTGGGGCTCAGCCCCCGGGCTGCAGAGATCATGGAGAGGGACGGGCTGCTATGCAGAGATCGGATGTAGTCCATGTAAGGATTGATGTAGGGATGTGGAGGGCTGAAGGGGGACTCAGAAGCTGCAGCGGGGTTCCGGTGCGGGGAGATCCTAATGAAGGGCAGGTCTGAATATGTTGGGCTACTAGATAAGGCAGAAGGCCTAGGTAAAAAGAAAACCAGAGGTATGCATGAAACAAATATCTCCAAAGGCAGAGGCTGTCTGTAAAAGAAAATAAGATTTTAAGTGAATTCAAAGTGTCTTGGAGGGAAAAATATCAGGCATATATATTCTAGTACTATTACCTTAAAATCATGGTGACATATGCAGGTAGAACACTACTATACAATAATTTGGGCAAAAAAGACTGACCTTTGAGAAATTTCATGGCACTCTGAATATAGGAAAATAAAGGCCTGCCTTTGGCTTTCCTTATGAGAAGAAATTCTAAACAACGGCCCTCTCTGAGCTTAAAGTAGTTGCTGAGATTGTATTTTCCATTTGACCTGAACATTAATTTCACCATTGAACACTTGACTCTCACCATCATGCTTAGTGTTGCAAGAGAAAGAGAAGAAAAAAAGAAAAGCAAATTCATCTCATCTGGAGGTCTGAGCACACACATTGGCAAAGTTGCCCGCAAATAAGAAAGATGACTAAATGCAAAAGTGTGTAAAAAAACATGAAATCAGACACTCCATATATCCATGCCCAAGCTTGACTGTTAATGGTCTTGCAGGGTGAGTTTTACAGATCTGAGTTTCACTGTGTTGAAGGCAACTCCTCTCTGGAGGCGGCACTGAGAGTCAGCTTCTTCTCACACTCATCTTTCACTTGGCATCCTGATTAGTCCTGTTCAGCAAAAAATCAGTAAGTACGTACTCCTGGGGTTATAAAGTTGGAAAAGAATGGGGTTCTGATCAAGCTTATGCCTTGGTTATAGTGAGCTAAGGTAGACTGCATGCTTTTCCCTGATGAAAAAAGTTCTCAAACACACCTAGTTGCCGCCATACCTCAGTCCCCTCCTGGTACTCCTTTTCCCACAGCCACTCCTGAAGCCACCCCTGGACAGGCATTTCTAGAATAGCCAATCTGTGCATTGCCTCTCTCTGCCTTGTTCCTTCTCTAACAGAAAATGTTTTGTGTGGATAATCCAGTAAACTGGCCAGGACAGGCTAAACACTTGTGCTCTCCATTTTCTCATTCACAGAGGCTATGGTCATAAAAAGGAGAAGCCGAGATAGAGACAGATCTACTGAGAATGGTAAATTCTTGCTATGTCACTGGCTTTACGAGTGAAATGAAAAGGGAAAAGAAACACATTTTCTCATCACGACTCCCAACGCAAGTGCATACTGGCGGTTGGGCTCTGGCCCCCGTCACCCTGTCAAAATATAATCTTGGAAGAAGCCAGCTTCACCAAGAGCACAGCACAGGCACTGAAATAAATGAAACCAAAGATCAGATAATGAATTTTCTCTCAGTAGAAAAAAGAGGTTAGGGCGGGGGGTGGGGTGCGAATTTTCTCATTTGCTCCTTATTCTTTTTTCACTTTGAACTAAAAAAAAAAAAACAAAAAAAAAGTCTTTTATTTATTATTCAGATGCCACTTTTGGTGAAGTAAAATAAAAATCCACTTTTCTAAATTTACATGTGAGAAGGATAAGTCACCATCACAAAATAGCTATTTCTTCTCAAAATTACTTGAGGCTTTCCATATCCTCTCAGAAATAAGTAAAATTACTTAAATAGAAACCAGTATAACCTATTATCCTATTTTAGCTCTTTACTACAAAACAAGTTAGCTCTGTGTTACTGGCTTAATTCTAAGCTCCGTTTAGACATGCTGCTACTTCAGAGCATAGGAGATGCTCCCATTCATTCACTTGTTTTCTAGCAAAAAGGAAAATCAATCTTCCAATCTGGTTCAAAAAGCAATTACTACAAATTAAAAACTTAATTGTAGATTTATGATGAGAACCAGAGCTGCAGAAATGTAGAAAAGTAGACATTTCAAGATATCCATGAGATGATACCTCACAAGCTTTATATGATCCATTACCAACTGGGTCTGAACAATATGTACTAAAAATCAGTGAATGCAATGTCATTTCTTCTTTGTGTTTTCAGTTTAGACAAAAAAATATTGAAACCTGTTATTTTTCTGAAATTCCAGAATTGAGAAGGGTAATAAGAATATTCTTAGAGACCTAGATTCCATTTTGAAGAATCACACATTAGAAAAAAACAAAATCTTGAACAACATGAACATTATGGAGTAGGACTTGGACAGTCACCAATCCCAAAGAAGCAAGGAAGCCAGGAGATGGCTGACAGTTTTCTCTTAAAAGTCTGTGAACATCTGACTTCTACACCAGGCCTGTGCTTTTATGTGACCTGTTCCCACAAGAAGACTGAAGGTAACTATTAAAAGAGCTGCCATGAGGAGGAATCAATACTTGGTCACTTCTTCCCTGGCAGGAACACCAGTAAGAAACAACACGAGAGAAGAGTATGGATTCCTCCTGGAGGCGAAGTCAGGAAACTTCACCCCTCTGGGAATGTCATAATCACATATGTTGCTTCCAAAGAGATGATGCTGATGAGATACTGGGTCATCTAGTTCTAAATAAGGTGGTAGGAAATGCTTTGAGACAGGAATGCAAGTAAATAAGCCATAAGTTGATCAAGTGCCCTAAAGAAGGAAACCATCTAGTTCAAAAGCCAGCCATCCCCTGTATATGAATAGGAAAATGTTTAATACAGGTTACCCAGTGACCAGTCATTAGGAATTCTGGAGACAGGTCAGTCAGACCACTAGAGCAGTGGTGCCGTGGAAGGGCTCGGGTTCTGAAGAGGAACCAATGCAGATGGAAGCTATGCAATCTCAGCTGCCACATTTATCCTCTCCTTGTCCTTAAGGGTCCACAAGGGAAGAAACCTACCTCGTGGGGATCTTAGCAAGCGAATACGAGTAAAGTCTCATGCACTGAGCCCGGTATCTAATAATGCTATGTGTGTGTGTGTATATATATAGTTACATACCTCTTATACTACTATGCTAATATGCTCCACTCGTAATCTATACACACATACAATACAGACATATAAACTCATATATACACATACACAGAAATATATACAGCCATGCATATTAGGATAGCATATACAGGATGCTACCTGATTTTCAAACTCTGAAATATTGAAACCCTCTTTTCAAAGCAAATCTTATGCTTTGCTCCCCTACCTGACAGAACTCCTGAAGCACCTCCTTGGATTTCCCAGGACCTCCCTTAGTAAAGTCATAAAACATATACAGTAGTTAAGAACAGGAACTCAGTAATTAGATACAAGAGATATGAAGAAACTAGATTTGAATGCAGGCTTCACTGACTCTGTCACTAAGTGCAAGTTCCCTTACACACAAAATGGAACAATAATAGCTCCATCCCAGGGCTGCAGTAACTGACCTTCACTGGGCTCTCAGGAAACAGTGGTGGTTGCTGATGTTCCTGGGGGTTGTCAGAACCATCCCAAAAAACTTTTGTGTGCATGATTCTAAACTCAACAAACAGAAGTCCATATGGCACGACTTTGGGGACTGGTGTTCATGTCCTTGCTACTCAGTTTCTCACTGGAAGTTGATCACTAACTAATTCTGTTTCCACATAAGCTCTTGTGAGTTGGGGTAACATGACATTTCTACAGTGTTGAAACCTGACAAAATTGAGTTTCTAAGCTACAAAAGCTAGCACTCAACCTTGAATTCTAATGGCTCCAGTGCCACCTGACATGGACGTCAATATATATAAATTAGTTTTTCAATAACGCTGCTTTTAACATTACCTAACAGAGCCACTTCCAAATTCCTGGTAGCTGGCCACTTCTGAATTCCTGGTAGCTAGGTCATTTATCAGTTTGTTTGTTTACTGTAAAGCAAATTTGAAAGAGAAGGTTAAGCATAAATTTAATGGGCAGATGTGTGTTTACTGCTGTGTGCAAGAGCCACTCAAGATTATGACCAGAGGGATGAATTCTACTGAAGGAAAAGGAGGTAGAGGGTGTGGGGAAGGCAGTCACAAAATTTTCCATACAAATGACAGATATTATTTCACAAACTGTCAGAAACTTCACCTGGTAAATATTTGTCAAACTTACTAAAAGTCTTCTTTTGAGGATTATAGTAGCAAAAGGAAAAAAAAATTATAGGTGTCTCTTTCTTGGTTTATATTTTCAGTAGGCACACATACAGAGATTGAAGATTGCTGTTGGCTTCCCATTACTTTCTCTGCCTGTAGCTTTCGCTTCTCTCTCTCTTCTAAGGCTGGGCAAAGCTTAATCATTGATGAGAGCACAAACCACAGAGAGAAAAAACAAAACAAGAAACAAACATTCTGGGAAGAACACTGAAACTCAGAACTGCTCCACGTATGGAGATTCCATGACTTTTATGTAGCAGCCAATGAGTATAGAAATATGACTGTGACCCTCTAAACTAAATCATACAAACTGTAGTCTGGGAACCAGAGATGCTTCAACTGTGGAGGGTTGTCTCAGCTGCCAGGGCACAACTGTAGGGATGAACTGTTGTTCTATTATTACTTCTGCATCTTGGCTTATGCATGCAGGGCTCAGGATGCCCACTTGGGGATAGCATCCCTTTTACTGCTCTTACCCAGGTGTCTTTCCAGGGCCATGGAGGCCTAACGAGTGGCTGTCATTTGTTTCCATATTGCCCAATGACTGAATGAAGTACAGTTTCCAACAAGAAAGAAAGTGGGAATCATTTTGTTTTTCTCCCAAACTACAACAAAAGCAATATAAAGTTGTGTGTTTGTTTGTAGAGATAATATGACCTTTTTTTAAAAGGTCATGAAAATAGATTACCATGAAAATAGTAGAGGATTCTTATTATAGCATTTTTAACATACTATGATAAACTTAAAAACAAAAACACAATGCTGAGAATAACTTCTTAGAATGAAATATGATTAAATAATCTAATTTGTTACTGCCTTTTCATCTATCTTATTGGGTTAGTAAAATGCCAAGATTAAAATCACAGTATTTAATCATGTGCATGGCCCATTATGAGAGCATTAAACAAGGTTTGTATGCTGGATTATTACAATTTGCTTTCACGTTGCTTGAAACACTGGAAA